CACACACACACACACACACACACACACACACACACACACACACACACACACACACACACACACACCCCGGCAGTTGTTTTTGGCAGCCATTTTAGTTTTAGACTTTTGGGTTAGAATAATAATCACAAAATGTTTTTCTAACCCCACATTAGATATCATAGGCCCAAAACAAAAATGTCAGAAAATTATCATCATCAATCTGTCTGGGATGCCTCGCTTAAGCGTTGCTGAATATTAGCATTCATAAAGATACGTGAGAATTATTTCCGTCTCCAGGGGAGCACGCCTGTAGTAGGATTTGTGGTCTGGCAGGTAGGTGAGTTACCATTTGTGGTGCTGTGGTAATTTCACGCTCGAAATCTGCCGGGCGCCGACCTCGAGTTAAACATATCCTCAAATAACTCCTTACCCCCAAAATAAAATGAGTGCAAGATGAACTGCAAATTATTATTAATTTTTTTGGCATTTGAGCCGCACTAGCACGATAACGTAGCACCTCGTACTTTTACCCCTCGACCCTGATTGTCAGGTACTCTCAATTCACGGATCGGTGTGATTTGTGTGTGGCGTGTAATCACTCACCTCTTGATTGAGGAAGCAGTAGAGGATTGCCACAAGCAGTCCCTGAAAACGGAGCACGTTGTCACGTATGTTAGTGTCCATAACAACGAATGTACTGTATACTTGTCATGTAATAATAACATAACAAATCTAACTTTCAGATATGATTGAAACACGCCACCAAAATGTTTTTGACCTTTAACCAAACAGAGAACACCTGTTTGATCGGATGAAGGACAATTACCCTCACAAGTCCCACTTCCTCGCCTCATTACCAGACAGGAAGGTGCAAAGAACTTAATTACCTCGTGAGCCGGCAATCGAGCATCCTATGCTTGCAAAACGAAAGCACCCTGCATTTTGCTTCAAGATCAATCTCTGGCCCCACTCATTAATAAATTCATACATGATTCATTTTGCTCCCAAGAGATGAATCTTACGGAAGAGTCATTCATTGAATTTGAATCTGTGAAAGGAACATTGCACTGGCAACACAGGCACTAATCGGATAGAACAGAAGGGATCGTTTCCTGCAACAGTTTTTTTATTTTTTTTTCATTTCACCAAATGTCCTTTTGCATCTAGAAAAGACTTCAGTCCGGCTATATGCAATTTCACAATTTCACATCTATTCCGATGTCCTAACTGCCACTTAGAGCTTCTTAAAGTGGGGTAAAAATATACCAATAATTAGGGCCTGACTGAATAATTGGCTGGAAAATTGAATCAGCCAATATTAGCTTTTTAAAAAATTGGTAAAAATCTGATGAGTTTGTATCGATATAAAATTCAAGACAATGAGAATAACACAAAAAAATCAGCAAAAAAAAATCTGCAGATTTTTCTCTTATATACTAGTTGACAACATTATGTAAAACTGTCAAATGAATGAATCCTCTTCATTTCTGTGTGCATTAAGAGATCAATAAATACGTTCTTTTATTCATTTGATTTTTTTTTTTTTTTTTTTAATCAATGAATAGGTTATCAGAATTGTATTCAGCCAGATATTGAAATCGGCATCAGCCAGGCCCTACTTGGACCAATATACTAGTTGACAACATTATGTAAAACTGTCAAATGAATGAATCCTCTTCATTTCTGTGTGCATTAAGAGATCAATAAATACGTTCTTTTATTCATTTGATTTTTTTTTTTTTTTTTTAATCAATGAATAGGTTATCAGAATTGTATTCAGCCAGATATTGAAATCGGCATCAGCCAGGCCCTACTTGGACCAAATTTGGATCAAAAACCCGATTTTGTGTTTAGAGTGTTTTTTTTCCCCTTCTCCCTAATATGCTTGTAAAAAAATTGGGGCTGGTTGTTACAATGTTTTTACATTACAGTGGTTGCATGTGAAATAAAATAATGTAAATTAATATTTTTTTTAAAAAACTAAAACACAAAAAAATCTATTCAATAAATGTTGTATGATGGTAACATCTTAACCTTGGAACAAATTATTAAACGCTCCAACATTCCCTCATGTTTTGGAAACAGTTTTTGCAGTACTGACCCCATGTCAGAAGTTTTGCTTTACTGCAGGGTCGACCCTACTTTTCTCAAGCCGTTTTGTCACATCAAATGAAAGCAAACCCCAAATTAAACTGATGGATGAGGCCAAACGGTACACAGGCGGTCGCAGCTACCTGGAAGGATCCGATGCAGAGCTCAAGGCAGAGGCGCAGGTTCACGTTAAAGTAGTCAGGCAGGAAATTGAAGAAGATGTAGTGGGTGCCAAACAAGGGGATGAGCAGCAGGGTGGACTTGGTCAGGCGTCTGGTGGCATCAACAAATGCAATGCGGGAAGGGAAGAATACTCCATTTCATTACAATTTATTTACACGCTGTGTATTTATAACAACCACACAACTCGACAACTCTGCAAGCATGATGTGAACACACAAAACGCCATAGGCGAGCTAACGTCTAATATCGGTAGTTGCTGTTCGAACCCTTTCGACCCCCCAGGTGTCAAATTCAAGGCCCAGGGGCCAGATGTGGCCTGTCGCATCATTTTATGTGGCCCGTGAAAGTAAATCAAACATGTCCACTTCCATGATGCTTGCTAAAATCTCAACCAAAATTTAAAATTCTCATATTTAATAAATTAGAGACATAATGCAAGCATTTTCTTGTGACCAAACCCCTCATTACAGTAACTTGAACAATAGTTGAATCAAGCGTTATTGACTTTTTTTATATGGTGTCAGTCATAACGGCCTTCCATGGGAAACGGTAACTAAAATGTGGCCCACGACAAAAACGAGTTTGACACCCCTGTTTTAGACAATGTATATATGAACACAAACGGAGCATCAACACATGTAGATTGACAATTTAACAATGCTCCCAGGCATATTGTCTTTATCCTCTCCAAAAACACAACTAATACAACTGCAGCTCGACAAATGTTGGTGAAGTCTTCTTCGTGTGCGTCTTCATGACTGCATGATACTGCCCCTGGTGGCTAAGTCACACACACCAGAAAGAGTCCCAATGAATTATTCATGATGCACCAGCGGTGCAGTTCTTTACGCTTCTACTGAGTTATGTTATTGTAAAGTCAATATTACACCGCATGCATGAGCTGCCCTGCCATGACTACCACTAAATTTGCAAATGTTTACCGGTACTTGCTACAGAGTACAAGACAAACCTTGGACAATAAGTCACATGTTGCTTCATTTAAAAAAAAAAAAAAAAAAAAAGACACTGTTGTTAGCTGATCACGTGTAGCATCCCATTCTGGTAAATTTCCATTACAGGAACACTATCTGCCTATTATGATACCACTTTGCGTATGCATTGACTGTAATAGAACAGAGTGCAGAGGAAACATAGTCATGTGTTCAATTTAACCACCTGCACAGCCAACTCAATTTTAGCACTGGGAGATGTTTTTTGTTTTTGTTTTTTTTTTTCCCTCCCATCACGAACACTGTGTGCCCAAACACTTTCCGCTAAACTGCCGGCTCATTTCAATTAGGTATTCCTACGAAACCGACCGAGGTAATGAATTCATCGCGACCCGTTTTGGAATCACTGCGATGGGAGGAAGTCAACCCTGCGGCCTCATCGCTAACGGGCATTCAACAATCGTGACATATTGCACAACTTATGGGAGAAATTCAGCAAGTTCAATTCCGGATGAGTGCACTTCCATCAACAAAGTCCGCTGAAGCAGAATGTCAAAGAATAAGGGGAAAGGGAATCACCTGTACTGCGAGGAGTTATTGAATTGGATCAGACGGGGGCTCAGCTTCTGGATCAGAATTCTAACGATGTTGACGAAGAGGATGAAATTGACCTGGAAAGGAAGGAGGTGGATGAGGGGAGGAAGTGGTGGTGGAGGTTGTCTGCATTTTATTACACGCGGCGACAACAATATGTGCAGCGGAGCACGTAACAGAATGGGCCGGACGCATCTGGCACGTCGCTCTGAACAAGAAAAAAAAAAAAACGCGTCATTGAAATTTGCTTGTGGTGCTTTATCGGCGGAGGAAGGCGTCTCGACAAAGATGACGGTAAACAAGTCATCTGCATGACAATCTGGGAAGGTGCGGATGGAGCGGTAGCCTCGAGTGCAGGTGCGAAACAATGAGCATCGTTTACCACAATGGACACCACAATCGGGCCCTTGATGATCCACCAATAGAGCGAGTCCTCATTGATGTCCCAGCATCTGTATGTAGAGGGGCGGAGGAGACATTTAGAGAGGTAACCTTTCGACGGGAGGGTGTCAAACTCATTTTGGTTGCGGGCCACGCCATGATGACCGTGAAACCATCTAAATGTTGAATCCGCTCCTCATGTGATTACACGTACAGAACACAAAAAATTGATGGACAGCCTGTTTTGAAATCAAATTTACGGTGTGCGACAGTGTGACAGACAGACTCTCAGACTGATGGGTTAAAATTTAACCTGAAGTGGGTGAAATATAATTTACTCCAACTTCAGTACACAAAATGTCCAAAATGGGGACCGGTTTCAGCTCTTCAGCCCAAATCCAATTTGCAATCCAATCTGCTGGATCTAAGTACTATATTTTCCGCACCATAAGGCGTACCTAAAAGCATTCCGTTTTCTCAAAAGACGAAAGTGCGCGTTATAATCTGATGCGCCTTACATATGGCTCAATATTCTGACTTCTTGATCATAGTATTTTAAATGTTCTGTAAAGCGCTTTGTTACGGTTGCAGCTGTTGTGAAAGTGTGATATAAATAAAGCTGTATTGTATTGTATTCCCTTTAGCGTAGCCCCATCTAGTGGATGCATAACGCAACCACTGCCACGATTGTAGCTTCTATTCTATGCGCCTTGTAATGCCCGATATGCGAAAAGTTTTAAAATAGGCCACTCATTCAAAATGTGCCTTATACTCTGAAGCGCCTTATAGTACGGAAAATACGGTAATTAACTCAACCTTGCGTAAGCGAAACCCAATCTGCTCAAAATCCATAGCTACCCAGCGAGTCGGTGAGCAAAACATCCCATGATTTGTTTTTAGAGTGTAGAACAGTAATCTAATTTCAGATGATGACATGCTTATCAGAAAGGTCAATTAAATCTTTTTGGTGCACTAAGACTTCGGTTTCTTCATAATTACATTGGAAGAATGTGCCTGACATTAAAAAAAAAAAAAAAAGGACACGATACAAACTCTGTGTCTTCAAAATACACCCGGGAGGCAATCCACAGCACGATGAAGAACACAGGAACCCCTGGGAAGTAAAAAATGAAAGCAAAAAAAAAAAAAAAATTAAAAAATGGTGAGACAGCGAAACAGTTTGAAACACACTCATGTTCGACTTTTTAATAGCCCTAATGGTGCTATTGATCCTATCGAGAAAAAAAAAAAAAATCAATGGTACATTTAACACGATGTCAAGGACTCCCCTCTTGGACAATCACTGAGGAAAGAAAGCCTTCTTTTGCTCATTTTAAGACCAAGAGGGGATTTTCACCATCGTTGATGCCCTATAAATTCACACAGCGAGAGCCCTTCATGCCTTATCTCAGCCTAATCCTAATAAAATCATGAAGTGCTCCCTTCTCCTCCCGTCTCGCTGCGCCGGTTTCCATCAGAAGTCATCTGCTCTCCTAATCACGCAGAGGTAAAGCGACATCTCAACTTTTCAATGCCTTTTATATCCGCGAGGCCCCGAGAAAAAGGTCATGAATAATCTCACGTTTTATTCTTCAACTGGACACGAGTTTTTTGTCTTGAAGGAGATATCTTGAGCAATTTTTTTTCACAATTTCAAATACTTTCCGGATGTTTTGATAGCATAATGAAGGTCAAATGAAGTTACTCAACTGAAAGCGCAACTGTTTGATGAATTTATCATTGTTATGGGCAAGTCTAGAGTATTAAGTTTGTAATAGTAATAAGTAACAATATATAATATTGCGGATAACCCACGCAGGCACGGGGAGAACATGCAAACGCCACACAGGGAGGACGGAGCTGGAATCGAACCCTGTACCTCTGCACTGTGAGGTTGACGCGCGAACCACTCGACCACCGGGATGTGAGTACATTTGCCACCCTCCGCAGAATGCAACGAAATTTGAGCATCTCACCCCATCCCAGCAGACTGAACCCCCACAGGCACTGGCGTCGGCGGTACAAGGAGGAGAGCAGCAGGGAAGTGAGGTAGAGCGCCTCCACCAGGAGCCAAAAGAAATTGGCCATGACGCAATAGTGACAAAAGACCACGGCGGCCTTGCAGGCAAACTTGGGAAGAGCAGAGGGAGGAAGAGAAGAAAAGTGGGGGAGGAGTTAGTTCGAAGGAGCCGTGTTGACTGAGTACAAGAGGGAACGGGCTCTTCAAGTCGATGGCCTCTTGTCTTACGGTGGAGAGGGTGCAGTGGTTGGTGTCGTCGCTGGAGAACAGGGTGGCGTCCTTGATGAACACCGCCGCGGCTTTCAGGATGAACGTGAGGAAGAGTTGGATGTGGATGAAGTTCCGGGCGCAGCGCAGCCTTCTGGTGAAGGAGGAAACATTTTTGTCTGAATTGTTTTTTTTTTTTGTTTTTTTTTGGGGGGGGGGGCTTGGAACGAATTAGGGCATTTACAATGAAAACATGTCTCCACTTACAAACTTTTCTAGTTAAGAAATTCCTTCCAGAACCAATTAATTTCGTAAGTAGAGGTACCACTGTACATAAAATAAAATACATCATTGAATGGAAATTTATGACGTCCTAGATTGTTACTTTTAGCTCACAGGCATGAAAAAGTCTGAATACAATTTGTATAAATACATTGCAGTTCCTTATTGTCCGATCTACTCAACAATAATGGAAAAAGATGTCATTTCAAAGAAACAGCAACATTTCTAGGATTAAGACAAGCCCCTGCATGTGCCAACCTGAAGAACAGCAGGATGACCACGGCGGCGGTCAGCACCAGCAGAGAGATGCTGTAGCCGACGGTGTAGATCAATTTAACTGTGGCGTAGTACGTCTGCTCTGTCTGGACACACAAGAAGAACCTTCTTCGTTTTGAGGAAGATTAGACCGCATGGCTATCCGAAGGTCCACTTGCATATTTGAATTTTAAGGTGGCGTCGAAACACAGCGTGATGAATTCACTCAAGTGAAAAAAAAGCTCCTTAAGTCCCATAAAATCAGACCTCGCAACCACTCGGATATCAGGTGGGTTTTTATTACCTTCAAAAAAGGCACTGCATGGCACCTAAAGTAGTTTGCGCATAATTATCTCTCACTTATTTATTTTCTTTTTATATCGTTAGAAACAAGATAATTTCAGCTATTATCGGACGGATGACAAGCGAGTCACTTCCAGCTCTGCTCAGGTATTTGCACATTAGGCTCATGAATGTCTTGTCAATGGCTCCTATTTGTCGCTCCTTAGACCAGTGTTTTCCAACCTTGATTGAGTCCGTTATTGTTTCACATTTAAAAAAAAAAAACACAGCACACCTCCGAATATAATGTCACAGTAAGTGCGTTTATGGGATATGGTGTACAGTCTACGAATGGCATCTCGTGGGAGTGCATTTCATTGTTCTCGCTGTAACTACAGTATACGATGCTAGCATAGGGACAGTAGCTAACGATGAGGAAAACGCAACTCTATAATACTGTTCTTCTTCAAAACATCAACGAATTAACTGGAATGTAAAGGACTCATCAGTTTGTGCATCATGACGGACTCATTGCGACTCACCCTGCTATGCATGGCTTGGCCACTGGGGGGGAGTATAAAACAGTCATGCAGGCAAACCAAGAATAATGACTGCTGGAAGTGACCCCGTAAGGTGAAGAGGATAAAGAATATATGCCTGTGAGTATTGTTATATTGAATGGTGACGTGTTGACGCACCGTTCGTATTATCCATCGCTTATTGCACAGGTGTCAAACTCACGGCCCGGGGGCCAGATCTGGCCCGCCACATCATTTTATGTGGGCCGCGAAAGCAGCTCAAAGATGTCAACTTCCATGACACTTTCAAAAAAGTCCGCCAACATTTTAAATTCTCATATGTAATAAGAGATATATTCTAAGCATGTACTTGTCACCAAACCCCTCATGATAGTAACTTCAACAATCGGTGAATCAACAGATATTCTTGACTTCTTTAGATGGTTTCAGTCGTAACGGCCCTCCAAGTGAAACGGTAACTAAATGAGGTTGACACCCCTGGCTTAAAGGGTTATAATACTGCGACTATCAATGCTATTTATTAACCGATGTATGGCATTTTGCATTGCTTGTTAGCATAAAGCAAGTACAAGGCAGAGCTATGTGGTCATTTTAAATACAGTACAAAATGTGACATCTTTGTTTTATGCTTAGTTTGACAGTAAACATCAACTGCTTCAAGAGAAGAAAAAAGTACAAAAAGCAATTTTCTGTTCATCTTAGCATGCATCTCACCTCTGGAAGGTCATCGTCCACACTGCAGGCAACATGGTATGGCGGGAAGGGTCTGGACCAACCTTCGTCGGTGCAATTTCGTCTCACTTGTCCTTATGTAAAAGAGGAAGAGATTAATTAGATTAGCTCTCACACAGGGATATGAATAATCGCAAAAAAAAAAAGGGGGGGCGGGGGAGCAAGCTGCAAAGCTGCTTCATGGCCAGTCAATTGATTAAATTGCTTTAATTCTGATGAAATTGGAATGGGTCATTCAATAAGGAATCAAAATTTGTGGGCACGTAATGCCTTCAATGAACGGCTTTTACTCCTAAAATAGTAAAGGTGTCATCAAAAAAATGTTCGTATTATGGGGCCATTTATATCATTCATACTAAATTGATGGAATTGCAGAAGCGTATTTGCCTCACAGTCGAGAGGAGCTGCATTCGAATTTCTTCCCCAAAAAACCTATACCGTACCTAGTGGATCAAAAAGCTCTCCATTTTGGGGCATCGCTATCCTTATGCAAAACCGATTTGATATGTCTATCACTTTCATGTTATTTATCCAAATGACTACGCCGGGGCTGGGTGATTACAGCGCTAATAAGCGAACGAGATGCAAATTAGCACCGTGAACATAATTAGCGACGTCCCGCTGAGCATCAGGCGATGATCAAGTGATATAAACGCCCTACTTTGGTCGCCTCGTGCGACACAACATTACATTGTTCAGTCGTTGAGATTAGACTTTTAATATCACTTGAGATCACAGACTTTTCCGAAAACATCGCTTCCCCTCCCATAGCGGATAATTAACCGAGATCTGCCCCGCCCCCGACCCCCCAGCATTAATCTACACGAGTCATTCCTTTGTAATAAGAAGGCACCGCATGAATAAATAAATAGACACGCACTCTTAACAGCCCCCATGACATAACTAGAGTGTTGCCATGATAGAACAACGGAGGCACTCCTGTACTGTAAATGATATTCAGGCCCCAAAAAAGTCACCCGTGTTGTTTCCGAAGAGGGAAAACACAGCAGGACAAGCGTTGTGAACAGTTTCCCCGACCGCAGCGTGAGGCCAACACACCACCGCGTCCCAGAATGCTCGACAACCTGGGGAGGTAGGAGGGGAAGAAAATAGCATGTTGTGAACATTCTGACAAAAAAATACGCTATATCTAGAAAAAAAGCTTAGATGATGGGGGCGAGGGTTGGGGGGGTTCTAGCTAAAACCTATGAGGATAGGATGAACAAATATTTCTAGATGAGGTTTTTTTTTGGGCTGATTTTGAATCAGCCCTTGTTTTTTTTCTTGAGCATGTCAGGTTCTAAATATTTCTAGATGAGGTTTTTTTTTGGGCTGATTCAATCAGCCCTTGTTTTTTTTTCTTGAGCATGTCAGGTTCCCATAACAACAATTACAAAATAATATCATACGTAACATTGTAAGCAGCTTTGGAGGTCAAACTGAAAAACAAAAAATATCTCAAAAAGCTGATGTGCTCGGGGAAAAAAAGTAAAGACACTTTCTGAATAAGCGTTGAAATACGTTAAAATACACCTGAAGCCAAAATGAGATGTTGACCAGTGTCATCGGTCCGTGCATACTCCTAATTACGACACGTATTGGTTAGTTTTCCCATCGTAAAAGCCACACACTATCTTTAATTGGCTCGTTCGTTAACGACGAGTCTCACGGCGCTATTAAGAACACAACTACATGATTCCGTTTAGCGGCAGACTCTTGTTTCAACATTTCACGCATCAGCCGAGGGGGTGTCGTTTGAAAAGAGAAACACGCACCTTGCGCACTCGCGTTTCCCTGCTCGGCGATGGAGCGCAGGCAGCGGAGCTCGTCTTTCTCCAGCTGGAAGATGAACTCGCATTCAGGGTGCAGGCTTGTTAGCGCCTACAGACATCACAAAGGGAATCAGCGGCCTTTTAAGCAACGGCGAGGGACATGCGAATTCACCGGGAGGAAAAGCACGTTTGGAGATAGCCGAGTATTCAAGTGATGTGCACCTGCTGCCACTGGTGGGATGTTTTTCAGCACAGTACACCATTAAAAAAAAAATGCCGGGGTTGTTTTCTTGGGAAATGTTTGAAGCTTGAGGGTGAAGACTTGAGACATATTCCGATCGTGCACAAATGTGACTTACAACCATTTGCTTAATTCATTAAAAGGTGTTTGTTCCTGAAAAGGGGCCGAGATTGTTTTGGCTTGCGGCAAGTTTGCACTCCATCAAAGTCGGAGCCACCTGAGATGCCATCTGGCACTGATCGCAATGCCGCGGCGCCAAATAACCACTCGCCATCACTTCTGTACAGTACTTGATTACAGCAGAACATTTGTCTCACTGTATGACAAATTAGAAAGCCTCGTTCGTGAGCCAGGGAAGAAGATGGACGAAGAACATATTGAACATTTGTATTGATATTTACTAGTGGAGAGATGCAAATTAAACAAGTCATTTAATTATTTAGAGGCTTTGTATATACTTCATCACAATTCATGTGTTATATACAGTGCCACTGGCAACATATAAAATGGTTAAAACGTGTTCATATGATGGAACAATCATGAAGTCACACAATACATCGAGATCGATTTCTTCTCCTGGTCCACCCCGTTATGGGCTAAGCAAGTGCGACAGGTGTGAGTGCTGTGGATGCCCGGCAAGGTTGTCACTAAAGATGATATTTTGAAATCGAGCCTAACATAACTTGGAGGAGGTCCGTCGTGGGACAGAAAGTATATTCCGTGCTATGTCGCAGTCGCCGCCTGCAATTTTTGGTTAGGTGTATTTCATATGGACTTTTTTCAATACATTTATGCTTTACTATGGTCGGGGTGTTGTGCAACACTTAAAATATGAAGCATTTATATGAAGACAGACAGGAAGTTAACCACTGTACAAAAAAAAAGGAAGGAAAGAAAATCAATGGAGCAGCTCTGACGACATGAAACGACATGAAGCTAGCCAGTTAGCGGCTGACGCTAGCAAGTGACACAGTTGATCCATCCATTTCGGTTTCCTTTGGGGTTACTGTTTTCATTCTTAGAAATATGTCAAGAATAGAAACCATATTGTGAACATAAAACTTCAAAAGAAAATCAATGGAGCAGCTCTCACAACATGAAACGTAGCTAGCCAATTAGCGGCTGACGTTAGCAAGCGACACAAAACGGTTGAGCCATCCATTTCATTTTCCTTTGGAGTTACTGTTTTCATTCATAGAAATATGTCAAGACTAGAAACCATATTGTGAACATGAACCTTCATAAATGTAACATTTGAAACGTTCAGCAATGAATGGACCATCAAACTGTAACACCACACCTCTTCCAGTGCGCCCCCCCCCCCAGGCTTTGGTCATGTACTGTAGAATTACAGCAAGGTGACCTCTGCAAAATACTTGAGGCTAGTGAGTAAACTACCTCGAATCAAATTTTTTTTACTACATATGGATAAATCACAGCACGTGTAACGTACAAATGAGGACCACAACTTAAATAGCTAAGCGGATGGTTCTGACTGTGCCTTTGTCTTTTTGTTTGGTTTGTCTGTTAGCAGCCGCGTTGTTAATGGATACACTGCCTGTCAGCCTATCGATGCACTTTGAACTACAGAAGCTGGTAAAAAAAAAAATAATAATAAAACAAAAAAAAAAAAATATATATATATATCTTGACAATAAAGTTGAACTAATCGATAAATGTGATGAATTGCCACATCCTAGTTAAGGCTTTCGTGGTCAGTCTTGGTATAATACAAAGTAATTAGGAAAGGTCAAACACATATTTATCATGCAGCCACTGCGGCTTCAAATGCAGCAGACAGTGTTTCAAAAAGGGTAGAAGCTTCTCATTTATGTTCCTTGGCACGTTGTCCTCCGATTGCTTTGCGCCATGCAACGAGCTTAAGAGAGAAACAAAAGAAAAGGCACAAGAGGGAAGATTAAAGTTGCGCACGATATCCTCTTGGCGGGAAAGAAAATTTACTGGGCAAAATAGGCGAGCCGTGTCCGGCAACACTTGTGATTCCATTTGCGAGGAAAGAAGGGCCCGGAAAGCAGCCTGAACAAATTGCTGCTTCTAATGTCACGCTCACTTTTTAATGAGCACCGTTAGCTTGGGTTATGATGCGCAATTAAGATCCGTTTCGCTTCAAAGTCAGAAAATGGATGAATGGGGAAAAAAAACCCCCAGCAGTGGGACGTGACCGTTATGGTACTTGAGTAGATATTTTAAGTATCTTAAAAAAAAAAAAAAAAAAAAAGACTCCGACTTTACTTCTACCATGCTGTAGAATATTAGTTAAAAGGTTAGAACCGATCTTTGTATAACTCCTATTCAACCACAATTTGCTGAGAAGTTTCGATCAGAATTTAGCCCTACCAGGTCTATCATAAAGGCGGAATTTCTTTCACGGTATCTTTACGTTATCGCCGACGAGTGAAAGATAATAGCACAAACACCCACTCACATTCCTACAGTAGGTCTGCTCATAAAATGTTAGCACGGCTCATTATCCACTAACAACCCAGTAAGAGGGTATCTGATTGGGGTCACGTCACTGCGTCTCTTTTCTAGAACACGTAATTGTATCGCCGCAGGAATTCAGGCACTGTAAACAACGCTGGCAGCAGATACGTTTGCTTGAACGCAGTGCGAAGCTTTTCGGTACCCTTGTTTATAACAAAACAGAATATCACAGCTAGGTGGAGGACTCGATGTGAACATACAACATCAGGAGCGACATGAATGCAAACGCTGTTGATAATAATGGTTCAAATTTGCTAATGTTCCGATAAAACCACGAGAATGAGTTCGTTTTGGAAGGACGACTAGAAACTGCCCAAATCACCCTAAAATGAGCACTTCAAATCAAAATGGCAGACTTCCTCTTTCATATTTGTCCTTTTATCCTTGAGTATGCAAAAATGTAAAAAGGCAAGAGTGACTGCAAATGGAAATCATCAAAAATGGGGAAATTTCAGTGTGTTGGAAAAGTTTCCGAAATTGGACCTTGTGAAACTGTTCCCTAATTTGTGGATGGTTTTGAAGGCTGTGCCCTCTCAGTGGCCACCAGTCCAAGGTGTACTCCGGCTCTTGCCCAAAGTCAGCTGGAATAAAGCTCGCTCTCTCTCTCTCTCTCTCTCTCTCTC